GCTAAATCTTGGCGATGTAATTTTACTATTTTTCGACTTATTTTTGTCGAAATTTAAACGTTCTAAAACGCTCAAAAGGGCAAAAATAATGCCATTTTCGACCAAAGTTGATAATTTTTCACCCCTTGCAAACAATATTTCGAGAAAAATTCACATTTTTAACTCTTAAACGCCCGAGAAAAAGCACAAATAATTATGTTCTCAGCCTTGTTTAGTGTTTTTTGGCTTCTTTTCGACAAAATTTTGCAATACAATTACATACTTTTCTGACAAAAAATGGGCTATTAATCGGTCGTAAAAAGCAGGAATTATAAATTTTTTGAAACGGTTTAGTAAAGTTTTGCGAAAAAAACTTGATTCTTAGCTCAAAAAACATGTTTAAACACTCGAAAACGCAATAATGACTCGTTTTCAACCTTATTTTTGATGAAATTTCAAACTGAAAAAAGACAAAAGTGTATTTTTGGCTAAAAAAATTTCTAAAAGATGGCAACACATGTTTTAATGCTTGCTTTTTTCTGATTAATTTATTTAGAAATTTGAATATTAATATTTAAAAAAATAAACTAAAATACCAAAAAACCCTAGATTATCTCCAAAAAAAATCGGTTTTCATGTCCGTTTCAAATGTTTCAACCTACCAATAATACATTTTAAAACCTGTCGGAATGTTTTCTTCAGGGAAAACAAAGCAACGATAAAATATTCAAAAAAAAAAAAATCAACTCGTGATTGCGTTAATTAATTGTCGTGTATAACTGGTTGCATACATGGAAATTTTTTTTTCCAGAATCGTAAATAAAATAAAAATAGAAGCATGTAGAAGAACATAAGGGTTTTCCAGGGGCAAAGCGGCATTTTTTCACATATTGTGTATAATTCATTGCGTACACCAAAGGAATTTTCACACATGGTGCATATTTGGTTGCATACATCGAAAGATTTATTTTTACAGAATGGTGAATAAAATAAAATGCGAGAAAATGGAAAAACCGCCGCCACACCTGTTGATTTATTTACCAATGTTTGCTAATAAGTTGTGTGGAATTAATAGTTTATCTCATAGAATGATATATTTTGGGCGTGGTTTTGGGATAATCTCAGCTCTGGGGTAATGAAGAGACACCGTTTCGGTTTATACCATTTTCAATTAAATTTAATCCAAAGTAATCATTTTGTAAATCTCGCGACTTGTGTAATACTGTTACAGAATTAATTACAAGTGAGTCACCGACAAATAATCAAAGAAAATCTTGTTTAAACTAAAACATTTCAAAATTGGTGGATGCGCCGGGTTATTTTACTAAATAACACAGCAAAACAAGCAACTTTCTAAACTTTTTTTCTTATTTTATATGAGTAAATACAAGAAAATTTGATTACTATTTTGGAGTAATAAAAACAAACCCACTTCTAGGATAATAACGGATAGAAACATTTCATCAAAAAAAAAGTATAACGTTTTGTCGTTTAACAAAATTTGCAAGAATTTAAAATTCTTTCTCAGCTTAAAGAATCTACTGACTAAAAAAAATACTGACTGTATTTTTTTAAGTTGGTATTTTTGGTTAATTTTTCTGTAGCTCGAGTTTTGATATTTTGAAAAATTTTTACTGACTTAAAATTCCAGAATTTCTTCCCTAGATTTTTTGTGGCCTTTCCAACTGTCTTGTACAGTTTGATATTTTGAAAAATTTACTAACTTTTTAAAAATTCTACAAATTCTTTAAATTTTTTTGTGCAAGTCTGTAGTGTTTTTGAACTTGAAAACAAAACGCTCGAAGCTTGAACAAAATAATTTCAGAAAAGTTATGAAATCATGAAAAATTTTCCAGACTCGCTATAAAACAAAAAAATATAATAAATTGTCAAATTTTACAAAACTCAATAATTTTCAAATTGTCGAATTGTTGAAGCGGCAAAACACTCCTGGCTTGAACAAAATAATTTATAAAAAGTTATGAAATCATGAAAAATTTTCCAGACAAAACACAAAAAGAAACTAAGAAATAAACAAATTTTACAAAACTCAGTAATTTTCAAATTGATATACAGTTTAAAATTTCTCTAAACTTGCACATTTAGGAAGACTAATAAATTATAAAAAAAATACCAACTTAAAGAATTCACATTTGCAAAACTAGCTGCAGTGACAGTAGGTCAAGTTTCTTTCAGCCCAGTTTTTCTCAAAAATAAAACCTTTTATGGATAAAATGAGATTAAGAGCCTAGGCTTATGACAAGATTAAAAATTATCTTTGATTTTTGTTCGCAGTTGGTCATGAAAAACTGTTGCATCTTCAACTAAAAGGATTTAAACTATATTATTCAAACAGTGTCACTAATGAAAGAGTTTTCTAAGTACTAAGTAATGAAAAAAAAATGCAAAACATTTGAGAAAACTAAAAATTTTTACAAAAATAAATACTAGTTTAAAACATCGACTGACTAAAAATTAAATTTTTTAAGCTGACATTTTTGGATAGTTTTTCTGTGGGTGAAGTTTTGATATTTCAAAAAAAAATTATTACAAAATAATTGTACTCTTGAGAAAATGAATGACAGAAAATTAATTTTAGAAAGCTTCAAGTCCTTGGTTTAAAAAAAATAGATTTTGAACGCCGATATTTAGCTAAATAAGACTTTAAATTGAGATTTTATCGATAAAATCTGTTAGAAGTGACAACAGAAAAAATCTCGTGATAAAATAGTTGTAGAAAAAATCTCGTATGCCCACCTTGAGTCCGTGCAACTCCGCTTGTATCAGATGTACATGTCCAAAAAAACAAAAATATTTTCGATGTGATTTGAGTTTTTTCAGCTTGTTTTTGTCAAAATTTAACGTACTACAACGCTCAAAAGAGCCAAAGTTTATAATTGTTGGCCCATTTTAAACGAAACCAAAAAGATTGAAATTTTACCTAAAAACGTGTTGAAACGCTCAAAAAAGTAACAAATAACCTTTCCCCACCATAATTTGGTGTTTTTTGGCGAAAATTTGTAGTCCCAACTCAAAAATGCACTAAATGGATTAAAAAATTCATTTTTGACCCAATTTACAGATTTTTGTCCTTGTTTATCCAAAAAACAAGATTTTTTAAGATAAATGTGTTTAAAATTTCCACAAAAAAAACGAAAACAACACCATTTTCGATGTAAATTGATTTTTTTTAACTTGTTTTTGTCAAAATTTAACGTACTAAAACGCTAAATAAGACTTTAAATTGAGATTTTGTTGACGAAACTTTGCGAAATAATTGTGGTCCCAAGTCAAAAACGTACTAAAACGATTGAAAAGACAGAAATAATTCACTTTTGCCTCAATTGGTTGCTTTTCGCTCTGGTTTAAATCTTGTAAAAAAAAACAGATTTTTTTTTACTAAAAAATGTGTTTAAAAGCCCAAAACAGACAATAATAACACCATTTTCGATGTAATTTGRTTGTTTTTTCACTTATTTTTGACGAAAATTTGCAAAACAATTGTAGTAACTCAAAAACGTACAAAATCGATTGAAAAAGAAAAAAATTGATCATTTTTGACCCAATTTACTGATTTTTTGCACTTAAAACTATATTTTTTGGAATAAAGAARTGTGTTTAAAATCTCCAAAAAGACAAAAACATTTTCGGTGTAATTTGAGTTTTTTCAGCTTGCTTTTGTCAAAATTTAACGTACTAAAACGCTCAAAAGAGCCAAAGT